ATGGTGCACTGCCAGCCTCCTGAAAAAGCTTGCTGCGTTGGCTTCCCTGATGGGAACTGGGCCATCCTGGTCATCGGAGGAGCTCAGGACCTCACTGTTGCCGACGATGGCTGTGGTACCTTTTGGGGGAGCTCTGGTTCTTCTGAGCATCACTTCCTGGCTCCAGTGCAGATCCCTCAGCCTGCTAGCATAGGTCCTTCATCCTGCTGGCACAGACTTTGTAGATTCCACTACTGACCTTTGGGCCTTCCCAGCAGATCCGTGAAACAGGCCTGCATGAGACGTTGTTGTGGGCTCTGGGCCTCCAGTTGGATTCGTGGGAGGCATTGTTATGAGCTCTGGGTATTCAGCTCGACTCATGTAAGACATTGTTGTGGGATCCAGGCCCTCAGCTAGATTCCTTGGTCTTAGTGTGTGGACAGATTTCCTGCACTCTTTTGTATACTCTTCTTTGGGTGACTATTATAAATAATCATATAAAGTATGTATCCTCTATTATATTGTTCCCCTTGCAAAATAAGCCCCAAACCAACACAGTGGGAGTGTAAACTGGTACAGCAACTGTGGAAATAAGTATGGAGATTCTTCAAAAACCTAGGATTAATGGTCCCATTTGACTCAGCTATTCCCCTTCTGGCTATCTTCCCAGAAAAATTAAAAACATCATACCACAATGATATATGTGCACCCATGTTTATAGCAGCACAACTTGTAATAGCTAAATCTTGGAAACAACACCAAAGCACTTAAACCAAGGAATGGATAAAAAAATATGGTATTTTTATACAGTGGAGTACTACTCAGTCATAAAGAAGGATATACTTGACACTTTTGTAGGTAAATGAATGCAACTTGAGACCACAATCACTAGTGAAATAAATTCAACTCGTGTAAACATTATATTGCCTACCTGGTGTGAGAAATTGAAAGAGAATGTAAGGTCTAAAATGTACAACAGATATTGTGAAATGGGATGAAATTGTTAAAAAGAAAAAAAAAAACGGGATAAAGAAAAGGGGGAAGAAAGGCAGGAAAAGTGAAAAAATGCAAGTTAATTATACTATTACTGTCTCTTAGTTCACAGAACAGGAATGTTTATGCTTATATCGATTGGAGAATTTTTTATGCCCCATCTTGTACTCTGAGTAACCACTTTAAAGAAAATAATATACAGTGTATTAACTATCATTATTCTCCTATCACCTTGTCATGAAATTTTGTTTTACCTTTTTTCCACAAAATAAAAAAAAAAATTTGTCATTTTGAATCACTGTTTATGGTAACTTTTTATGGCAGTCGGTGGTGGTTACCATTATTTTAATTCACAATTTTGCCGCAACAGCCTACCTCCTGTGGGTGACAAATGAAGCACACAGTTTGCATAACTGCTTTTCCGAAACTTGCTGTCACTGTGAGATCGGACCCACCCAGTGAGCCCTGAAGTGGAGCAGGCTTTCCAGATCAGGTTTGGTTCCTCTCCCAACCCACAAAGTAGTCCTGTGGCTCCCAAAGATGCTTCACAATCTGCAGCAACTCTGGATCCTTGGGAAGCATTAGACTGACCCTTCCTAGCATAGCAGGGTGAAGATGATATTCAAGGTAGGAAAGTAGGGATCTAATATTTTCCCTGTGACTGACTACAGTAAATCAATGTTCTTATCCAATTCTGTCATCCGGGGATAAGAACAGATCTTACATTTCTGTCCAAATCTATAAAGAAAGATGACTGCCATCATTCATAACAGGAGATATGCAAATTAAAGCTGCCATGAGATACCAGGTTTATCTTATAAGATTGGCAAGGACTGAAACATTTGGTAATACTGTGCAGCCAAGGGCATAGGATAGGCAGTTTCTTGGACTAGAGTAGAAGTGGTTACATCACTCCCTAGAAGCCAATTTAGCAATGACTAAGAAGTACAAATACATATATCTTTCAACTCGCCAATCTTGTTATTGCTACAAGTCTCTTATACCAGAAATACAGGTGAAAACAAAGGTTGTGTATAGCACTGTCTTTAGTGTCTGTGGAAACAACCCAAATGTACATCAGTATAGAACTGTTAAAATAAATCACAGTGTATAGAATGGAACCCTGTGTGTAGTAAAACAGGGAAAAAAAATCCCATACTGATATAGACCAATCTCTAAGTGTGTCATAAATGAGAAAAGCAAAACAGAGAGCATTGTGTAAAGAATACTACCATTTGGGTATCAAAAGAAGAGAAAAACAATATATTTGCATTTACTTACATTTGAGTGAAATTCCTTCCACCGGGGAAAAAAAAATATCTGTTTAAAATTGAATTCATTGGTCTTGAAGTTAACCCACATCTGCAGATGTTCCTGGCTTTCCAGATACCATTCATCCAATAGAAAACTTCCCATTAATTTCCTGGGAACACTGCTTTCCTTGTGTCCTTTGTTTACTTCACCATGACTTACTGCCTTAAACACACAATACACTATTAACCCACTGCTGTAAAGACACATGTCTCCCCCACATTAACTTCCATTGCTCAAATATGGAAACTTTCTGCTCCAACCAAAATCATTTGCTCACCCACCTCAGACACACTGAACTGTCCTGTCTTACAGAGCAGTTTTGATGAGATGATTGGTGAATATTATCAATTGGCTTTTCTACATCTATCAAAAAGATCATACATTCATTTCCCAGCCCTGCTCTTAAGTAACACAGCATCACACATTTGATGCCTTAATACACCAGAAATTTGTTATTGCACTGCTCTGTCAGCTAAAACTCCAAAATCACAGTGCCCTGGTCACTGAACCCTGCAAGGGAATCCTCCGAGCTTACTCCTTGCGCCTCTTGGTTGTGGTAATGTTTAGCGATCTGTGGCTTACAGCTGCACCAGTCTAATCTCTGTCTTCATCACTGTGTGGCCTGCTTCATACGTGTCTCTATGTTCGCACAGCTGTCTCAGCACTTGAACACATGAGTCATAATGTGTTATGGTTCCACCCTGTTCCACTCATCTGAACTAATTACATCTGCAACAACCCTATTTCCAGATAATGTGACACTCTGAGGATTTAAGGACTTCAATATATCTTTCTGGGAGAACACAATTTAACCTATTATAGATCATACTATATTTATCCTTAGCTCTATTAACATGACATAATATTGGTGGGTTTTATAATAATTAACCTTGTGCTACTAAACAAATCTCAGACTTGGAATGTAGCTCAGTGGTAGAGCACTTACCTTGTGTGTACATGGCCCTGGGTTCAATTCCCTGATCCATGAATGAATATAGGATGTGTTTGACCTCCAGGGAGCCTTGAGATGGTGACAGCCTCAGCAAAGAAGTGTGTTGCCACCTTATGAGAAACCCAGGGCCAGAGGATGCAGCTAACGTGCCCCTGGATTCCCAACCCATGGAAATGGCAAGATAATAAATGGTGTGCTCATCCTGTACTTGTGGGATAATTTGTTACACAGCAATAGATAACAAACACAGAGCTCAAACTCTACCTGTCCTGTCCCAGCAAACTGCCCAGTGGAAAACTGAAAAGACCAGTGATAATTTGGATGTAAGTAGTTCTTTAGAGAGCTAAGTCTGAGTCAGAATTTAAAATGAAATGTGTACCTAACACCAAAACTTTTCACTTCAAAGTGAAGGTATTTTAACATCGTTCTATTGCAAGATCCTCATTTTAATTTATTAAAGATATGCCAACTCTTCCTTAAAATGCCCTATTTTTAGACTTTCCTTTTAGAAGTTGTATTTGTACATGAGCATTTAGAATGTGCCAAATTAAATATGGACCACTTACATAAAGTTGGGTTGAATTTACAACATGGATTTCTATTTTACAGCATTTTAATGAACACTAGTTTATTTTGCTATCTGGGTGAAAAAAGAAAAGAAAGAAAGAAGAAAGAAAGAAAGAAAGAAAGAAAGAAAGAAAGAAAGAAAGAAAAAGAAAGAAAGAAAGAGAGAAAGAAAGAAGAAAGAGAGAAAGAAAGAAGAAAGAGAGAAAGAAAGAAAAAGAAAGAAAGGGGGACAGGGGGGAAATTGAAGGGAAGTAAAGAGAAGGGAAAGAAATGCAAGAGAAAGGAAATAAAAAAAGGTAAAGATTTGTCTTTCTTATCTTCAAATATGGTGATACAGTTGAAGCTGAACAGAGACGACATTTCCAAGCCTTCTCCATGACCGTAAGACTAATCTCACTGAAAGCAGTCAAGCAGACTGAAAGCTAAACTTTTGCTTCACTTGCTCTTTATGAAATTGCTGCTTGCAATACTCACTGTCTTCTCCTTTCTAGGAGTGGGGACACGCAGATGTCCCCATAATCCAGTTTCAATTTTGCCATATAGGACAATGACTTAGTGTTGGTTCCAGGGCACAGGAGAACAATGCAAGGAAAGGAACCTGATCCATGGGTAGCATCATGGAGCAGAGCTTCCTGCCAACCTCAACTATTCACTTGACCTGCAGCCTGAAAGAGATAAATGTGCACATTTTTAAAGCCACTTTACTATGAGATCTTCTGTTACAGCAACTTAATCTTTATTAACCCTAATATATCCATCACTGACTCCTCTAAAGTGGCACTGATACCCATGATGAATGCTTTTATTATGTATTGCAAATATATACTAATAATTTTAAAAAGAATAGAAAAAAGCTCACTGCAGAACCACATGAAAGGAGAAATTCTCTTACCGCCCTGAGAGGCGTTTGTGTCTGCTGACTATCTCTTCCCAGGCTAGCTCGCTCCCAGTCTGGGACCACACTGGAGTCCAGGACTCTGCCACATGAGGTCTGGCCAGCACCTTAGTCTGTGTGAGACTCTCATCCTCTCTGCATAAAGTAGAAGAAATGATCCCTGCTTCCCAGGGCTGTTTCGGGGACTACCGGAGCCATTTGGGGACACACTTAGACCAACAGCTAGTGTGAAGCAAGCAGGATGAAAATTCCTTCTACGGCACCATCTCCCCTCCCAAGGCCCAAGAGAAGGATACGAAGCCATTCGGGAGGGATGCAGGAAGCAGTGGCGGGTATTTCACCCTAGGTACAGTCACAGTTGTCCCCACTTGTCCTGGGGGATACAATCCTAACCCCAGTAGCTGTTGACACAACATGTGGTACCCATCCCTGTACATGCTGTGCTTTTTCCTATGCATACCCGCAATAACATCTAGCGTACAAACAAGAGATTAGCAACAATAACTAACATGAGACACAGCTACACTAACACATTAAATAATGTTATGTAAAACTTTAAAAGTATGCCATTGAATAATTGTACTATATGCACAGTTGTGCAAAGTACAAATAACTGGATTTCTGCCCTGAAAAAAAGACAGTTTTAAAAAATAATTCTCCCATCCAAGACCAATATGAAACTACCAAGGAATTACACGCTATTTCTCTGGCACGTCTTGTCCTTGTGACCCAGGCTACGGGTGACTACTATTTACCATCTCTAGACTGCTACAGCAGTCTTTCTGCTCTATGACTTCTCAAAGGTGTTGACTCTGTCAGACTGGTTGGGAGATTTGTGTTCAGCACTTCAGTCTGTGCCTGACAGGGTGGCTATCACCACCCATCCTCAGCTGCTCAGTCAGCCTGGGGATGTTGAGAACCAAATTCTCCTGAGGGTCCTTCCTACATTGGATGGCTCCAGCGCTGTGCATACGGTTAGGACTGTCTCACCAAGAGCCTGTCTGGAAAGTTTCATGACAACCTTATAGGAAAGGAGTGGGGAATATTGTTTCATCACAGAAAGAAATTAAGGCCCTTTATAATATAGCTCACTCCACGAATTACTGGAAGCTTTAATCAGAGATCAATGCGCTGTTGGAAAGTCCCAATTATTTTTGGTGTTATATCTATGCTAACTGTGCCATGTTTTGATTTTGCCTTTTTTCTTAATTGGGAGAAAGAAAAAATCGAAGCACTAGATTTGGGAGACACATGATGGAAGTTGCTTTCACAGGCGAACATATTTCCTTAGCCCACAAACGGAACAAGTTCTAAATTACTGCCACTCCATCTTTTAAGACTAACCCTCAGGGAGTGGTCCCAGGGCCTGCATATCATAGCAAGCAGCACGGTGAGACGGGCTGCTGTCCTGGGACAGACATCTCTGCGTGTGACCCAGCAGTGGTGAGACACTTCCAGGGGGTGTGACAGCAGCCCTGTGCTGCTTCTGCTAGAGGAGCCCGTGTTGCCTAGAGTTTCACTGGTCTCTCAGTCACCTTGACCTTGCTCACCAGCTAGGACTGAGAAAACGACAACTAGGGCTCCAGGAAGACCAAATCATCCTTAGAAGTTACATCTCAAAGGCTTTCAGGCCTGCGACAACTGGATAAGCAAGGTGGTGGCAGGTGTTCCTTCCCTGCGCTTGCGCAAACAAATACGCTTTGCTCGGGCAGCCAGGAAATCCGCAGCCTTCTGCTGCAAACGGAAGACAGGACGGGGTTGTTGCAGGCTGAGGAGGTGCACAGGTCTTCCTTTGGGGTCTCAAAGACTCTCAGGCAGATTTAGCAGCGGTGAAGGAAAATCAAGCCCAGACCTCAGCCTGCGTCCTGTGCTGCTCTGCTGCTTACGGGGGGCAGGTGCGGCGAGATGCAGGCTCCTCCTAGCCGTCCTCCTTGGGTCTCAGTCCCTGAGCGAGCGATCTGTTCCGTCCTCCTAGTGTTTCTCAACCAGAGGCACAGCCGAAGCAAGAAGTAGAAGAGCGAGATTAGGGTAGCAACGCAGTAAACCAACGCAGTAAACCGAGATAAGAGCAAGTTTCCTCTCCACCTCCTAAGAATGCTTCCCTGTCTCCAGCTCGCATGGCCGAGCTGAGGACGGCCCGCGCACACTTCCTTGAGCAAGACCGAGAGTGTGTAGACTCCAAGGCAACGCTGCACCAGGCAGAGTTAGGAAAGAACTTGGGGAATCGTGGGAGCTAGTCTTGCAGGAAGCGGGCAAAGGTGGAGCGGGGAGCTGGCGAGCAGGATCAGCTCCCCTGGGCGCAGGAGATGGAGGTGGGTTCTTGTGGGGACGCCAGCGCTCAGATCGGTGTCCCGGGCAGGGCAGGAGCACAGCGCGCGACCCTCGGTGCCAGCCCGGAGGGAGAGGGGCGCGGGGCGCAGGAAGGCACAGTCCACGCTAGCTATCCTCCATCCAGGCGAGAGTCCCCCAAGGGGAAAGCAGAGGGGACTCCCGGCCGCTGGGAGCCAGGGCCTGAGCGAGAGGAGCCCGGCCCTGCGCAAGGTGGAGGCGGACACCTGGGCTGGCGCGCCGAGGGCGGGCTCTAGGATCCGCGCCCGCACCTGTTGGCCGACGCCGGCCCCGCCCAGGACTGGTGTGCCAGGCCGAGCGCGGACGCAGGGACCGCGGGACCGATCGGACCGCAGGCACCGCACGGCCCGGGCGCGCACAGCCCCGCTCGCCATGGCCGCGCTGCTGCGGAGCCTGCAGGACTCCCAGCTCGTGGCCCGCTTTCAGCGCCTCTGCGGGCTCTTCCCGGCGCTGGAGGCAGGCGCTGCCCCTGAGGCCGGGCATCTCCAGGCGGCCGAGAGCAAGGGCGGCGGGGACCCGGCCAATGGGCTGCGGAGAGCCGCGGCCCGGCAGGTAACCGTGGGCAGGTGTCTGCCGGGGACGCGGGGGAGGAGGGGCAGCCGTGCCGCAGCCGGGAGACTGCGGTCCGGGCGACTCCGCGACGCGGGCGCCGTGAGCGCCAAGCCACCGGGCAGAGAGGAGGGCGCCGTCCTGGGCTGCTGGGTCCAGCGCTTGTGTGCCGGGAGGGAGACCTGGCGGAGGAGGGGGTCCGGTCCCTGGCGCCCTCCAACGCTGCCAGGTCTTGGCAGACTTAAACACACCCGGAGCCTTTCATGCTGTCTGCTGGGGACTTTCTAGTTCTGCGGATAAATTCACGGTCATGCACACCCTACCAAATGCGTACGGTTACGTAAGGAAAAGAGGTGTGGGGATGTCCTTGGCGCTTCCCCTGGAGGCGTTCTGAGAATTCCCCTGGGACTCTGCGTTTCCACCCCATCTCCCCCTTCCCTCCTCCGCACGAACCTGGCTGTTAGGGGCTCGGGCGCTCCCTTTACCGCGGCAAAGACGCAACTTAGACTTCCAACCTCCTCCCCCGCCCCGGGGATGGAGATCCGCCAGCGCCTCCCTTGGAAAGTGGTACCCGTGGCTTTTTGCAAAAACACGCAGCACTTCCCTGTAGCCGTGCACAGCCTGGTTACACAACCCACTGCGGCTCTGGGGACACCTGCGTGCGGGAAAGTCGCAGTGCACAAGGACTCCCGGCGGGAGGGGCCAGACGGACTGCTGGAGACCGTGCGTGTCCACCCGGGGCACCTCGGGAGCTGCCCTTTCCCTGGGCAAAGTAAAAAGTGTAGCCCAGGAGGACAGAGGCAACATAATAACAACTGCCAAACCCTCACATCTATTCTTCCTAGAAGCCTCTGGTGACAGGAAGGCAGTATTTATGTTTACATTTCTGGATTTGGTAAGTAAGAAATTGCAGAAAACCTGGTTCCGGTGCAGAATGGAATATTACGAGCACCGAAGTACAGAATTCACCGGGGAGGCTGCGAGTGCATTGTGTATCCACTGCAGAAAGATCCTCCTCTGTAGTTTTTTTTGTTTTGTTTTGTTTTTTTCAGCAGCTGTTTCTTCCCTGTCTCACGTGACATACTAGCAGCTTTCATAGGAGTTTAGGCCTCCGCCCTTTCCTCTGGCTTTGTCTCAGAAAAGGAGCAGAGCTGGGGACAGAATTCCCAGTTCTGTGCCCCAGAGGTGCTCGGCATTTTCTAGATACACACAGCACTGACACCCACAGGTAGATACCACAGGGGGTGAGCCCAGGGGCAGGCTTTTCTCTTACCATCTAGCATAGGTCTTCACTCATCTGGGTTATGAAGAGTAAGAGAGCTCAAAATTCAGGATAAGAAATCCCTGTACTGGTGCTAATTGGGAAAATATTAACTTGAGATCATGAGTGGTTTTAATAGTGGGTTGGTTTCAACTGACTTGGGCAAGTTAATACTTTTCAGATACAGTGCACGGGAAGTTCCCAAGAGGAAATGGTTACATACCTGGCCCTGAGAACTTATAGGACAGTACAGGAACAATCGAGGAAACTTCCTCAACAGGCCTGCTTTCCCTCTGCCTTGGGCATTTGCCCAGGCTGTGGTTTGCCTGAACTGTCTGCCTTTTTCTAAATAACCTCCGGCCACCTGCCAGCTTTTAAAAATCGGTTCTTAAGAGAGCAGGCTTCTTGGAGCCCTAACCCTAACCCTAACCCTAACCCTAGCCTTCCAAGGTGACTCCTCCTACCCCCTCCACCTCCCTCTTCAGTTTGCAGTGCCAGGGATTAAACCAGGTCTTTGCCTTGAACTACATCCCCAGCCTTTAAGTTTTGAGACAAGGTCTTGCTTTGTTGCTAAGTTACCAGCCTAAGCTTAAACCTGTGATCCTCCTGCCTCAGCTTCCCTGAGTGCTGGGATGACAGGCATGTGTGACACCCGGCTGTTCCTTTGCTTCTTTTGGTTATTCCTTACAGCATTTGTTGCACTGTGTAAATATGCTTTTGTGTGAATAGCTGATTACACCAATCTCTTCTTGTAGATGGAAGCTCTAAGAATACAGGAAATTTATCTGCTATTTTCTCTCCCAAGGCTTGGCATGTAGTAGTGATATAGGAGAAGTATAACTTGCAACCTGCTAGACGTTAGATTTGCTGAGTTTGTGTGCCTTGAAATCAATGAATCCTAAAGGACAAATGACATTAAAAATAGGAAAGGTTTATTGGGGAATAGCAATAGCTCCTGAGGGACAGGAGGGGCCCAGAAGTGGACTGTCAACAAGGCCTTTCGTCAAGGGTGATTTATACAGCAAAGTCACAAATGTGGGTACAACATGAGTCAAACTGTAGTCAATCTATAAGATTACAAGTATAGCCACTTAGCTAATATGACCCAATATGGAAGTGGGGCACATCGCAAGGGCACATGGGTGACATCCTTAATCTTGGCTTATCTGTGACTTCTGAAATATTTCGGGGAAAGGATGGGCCCAGGTGTTCTGGTCACCTACCCAGGTATGTGATGTATGTCTGGATTTAATGGACTGAGTGTTTCCATTTGCAGTATAATCTCAATTTTCCATTCATCCCTTAGGGGAGAATGCAAATCTGGCCATTGTGACTTTAGTCTCCAGGACTTGCCTTTTTCAGATGCGCCTCCAGCCGCAATTGTGATGTCTCGATCTTTCACTGACTTCCTTCAGAGCCCAGTCCCTTTCTGACTGTGTGTTATTTTAAAAAGAAAAAAAAAATACAGAATTATCTATTAATTTTTATGTAACTTAGCTTCCGATAATAGTAGGAGCTCAGTGAGTTTTGTGAATACCTGAGTACAGATTGCAGTAGAAAAATCAAAATTTTGAACAATTAAACAGTGAATACCGAAAAGCTAGTAAAAATCCAAATACTTTTTCCACATAGCCTAGCAGGCAGCACTAGGACATTCATTTTAAAATTCTTCAGAGTGGTCAATTCTTTATTTGAGGAACTTTAGATCTCAATGAATCTAATTTGCCTTCCATAGTTTCTACTTATTTTAATCCTTAACACTGGACAAGTGCAGAAATGATAAAGGACTTCCTTTATAAATTCCTGTAACACTACAAGAGGTTAGCTTAAAGATTAACTATGTCTCTTACAAGGCAGGCTAAGCTTGGCTTGGACAAACATGGAATAAATGGGCCTGGACCTTAGAAAATGCCCAATAAATCTGAGTCCTGAAGGGTGAAGTGACTTGTGGGGGGCTGTCTGGATGTAAGCACAGTCAGCAGAAGCCAGATCTCTTGACTGCCAACTTTAAATTTCTTTCCACTGCCACTTCCGGGGGGAAAGTCTAGCGCTTCCCTGTGTCTGACTCACTCAGGGTGTGTGAGGTGTCAGTCCTGGCTGGAGAGAGTGGAGATCAGATGGAAAGAGTGAAGGAGGAGGTATCACTTGCAGTTTTCCAGGGTAACCCATTTGCAGTATTAACAATCTGAGTGTGTTCTTGGTAATCACCTTAGGAAGGGATATCCTAAGCAAGTGGCAGCAGTACTAGGACCATGCAAGGGAGACAAAATTATGTTTGTTCTGAGGTCAAGCCAACCTTGGATGCAATGGTGTTTTGACTTCTAACATTTTTACTTACTCAATGCCATTGTGTTATTAGGTAGCTCCTTCTAAAAGTGGCCTGCCAGTGTAACACTACCAGGTTCTGAGTTGTTCGCCTCTCCCCCCTGGAGTTAGATTCCAGGTTCTTCTTGTCTCAAGCAAAGACCTGAACAAAATGAGCAGAAAGCAGTGGCAAAGTTTATCAGAGAAAGTAAAAGTGAAGAGCAAGAGACAACTGGTTCTGCAGAGCAAGCTTGGGTTGAGTAAAAGGGAAAAAAGTAATATAAAAGGATGCCCTGGTGAAAGCTAGGTGGGCTACTGTGAGGAAAGTCAGGATAGCAGGCTCCTCCTGGTTTCTGCATGCTTGTATGTTGTTCAAATCTCAGGCAAACTTTCAAGAACTTTACATATAGGTCCTGAGAGGCAATGCTGGGATCCCACACCTTGGGCTAATGTAAGGTCTAGGCCATCCTATTGGAAACTTGCTGAATTTCTGGGGAGAAGTCTGCATATGAAGCTTTCAAACTGTTCTGCACAAGTTTTCTGAGATCCTGTAATTGAAAGGCCACGCCCACTTCCCCAGCCAGCTTTTCCATACCCTAATCTCCTGTGCCAGTTTTATTTAGCTAGACTGTACTGTGCCCTTCCCCACCATTAAAACAGACTGGAGATAGCCCAGCACGGTGGCACACACCTGTAATCTGAGCACTGGGGAGGCTGATACAGGAGGATCACCATGAATTCAAGACCAACCTAGGCTGCCTAATAAGTTCAAGGCCAAAACTGTCTCAAAAAACTGGAGGGGCTGGGGATTTAGCTCAGCCGCACAGCGCCTGCCTGGCAAGCGCAAGG